TACTTAAAGTATATTGCATGGAAAAACGTGTTTTTAAATATAGCTCAACAAACTCTCTCATCTTTAATGTGAGATTCAAACCAACCTCTTCATCTCTCTACAAAAGCATTTTAAGAAAGTATAATGACACCAAAGTGGCAGTTTTGAAATACACTTAAGCATTTTTCAAACAAAAAATATTAATCCATATCTATCAAGAAAAGAGAAAAAGAGGGCGAGAGAGATACAATGGGAGCGAGATAAATAGAGGCAAATAGGGAAGTGGGTGAAACATTTTAGGAAGAAGAGAGATTTTAGGAAAGAGAGAGAGAGAGAGAGAGAGAGAGAGAGAGAGAGAGTATTATAGAGAGTAGAGAGAGAGAGAGAGAGAGTATTATAGAGAGTAGAGAGAGAGAGTATTAGTAGAGAGTGAGAGAGAGAGAGAGATTATAGAGGAACATGAGAGAGAGAGAGAGATTTATAAAGGAATGTGAGAGAGAGAAAGTAGAGGGATCGTGAGAGAGAGTCAAAGAAAGAGAAAAAAAAATATAAATTATAATCTTTACCTTCCATATCTATCAAGAAAAGAGGGAAAGAGGGAGAGATAAATAGAATGGGTGTGAGATAATAGGGGGAAGAGATTTAAGAAAAGATAGATATTTGATTTTGGGTGAGAGATTTAAGGAAAGAAGAGAGTGAAAGAGAAATATGACATTGGGAAGAGGGAGAGATAAGGCAATTATGGAATAAAAACAGGACACATGGCCCAAAAAAAGTGAGGGTGTTGCTCTCGCTTAATATAAAAAATAAATATAGATAATAGATAATAGATAATAGATAATAGATAAATGGTGAGGTTTGCATAAAGTACCCACCTTATACTTTACAGATGTGTTTGATAACTGTAAGGTAAATTGGAAATGGGAAGTTCTTCTTTGCTGGGAAGAAATAAGTTATTTAAAAAAGCTATGTGTGTATGTTTAATAACTTGCTAGAATGGTAAAGAGGTTCTAAGTACCTATGTTTGACTACATGTTAGAATATAAAGTCATGTTTAGTTAAATATTATTTTTATATTAGACATAAAACAATATATAATATATATTGTATTGTAAATATCTATTATGTACATAAAATATATTATATTTTATATTTGTTAAT